GATGTTCTAAATGAAACAACTGTATACAGTATAGTATTATTGTCCCACCCTGTATATCAAAATTTACTCTTTAATATATATATTATGAAATTTCATACATGGCTATAAACAATTTCTCATTGGTATAAATGAAAAGGACACCCTTTCCCCTCCCGTAACCAGCTATTGTCCCTCACTCTTATTTTATCACATCTTAGTAAATGTAATTTAAACTGTAATAAGGTTGGTGTAAGAAACCCTGGTCTCAGTATTGTATCTATATGAAATATAACTTTCATATTCTGTCTTACTGAAGAAAAAAAAAAACATTTATTGTACAATGGATTAATTATCACGACTCCTCACATAATTCGATACTACTTACTAGTATAGACTATAACTTTATAAGTATTCTAAACACTTAACATAGCATAGTTGCTGGAGGGAACAAATATGTATTATCATGTAACTGATTGGTCCAAGGGATAATGAATTATGAAGTAAATTTAAATAATAATTGAAACTGAATTCAGATTGATTATTACGTAAAGTTTACAAAACATTAACATTATCTATGAATTTTCTTACAAACTTGGTTGTCACTTCCTTGTCGTTCAGTGCTACGTCTCTAAAAATAATTAATTAATCAAATAGCTAAGTAATAATAATATTATTAATAAAATTAATAGTACAATTATGAATCAGTTTAAATATGGAATAGATTTTTCGTCAAGTACTAATTTTTTCCATTGTAATTGACACAACCGAGTGTTATTACACAACGTGAATAATTGCTAATATTGCATCAAATTACTACTCTACACTACAGTACAATTTCTGTAGCCGTCACAAAAAAAGGAAGAAAAAAGCAGCTGCTAAAATATGAAATTATTGCTGTAATTTAATATGACGAAACTAACATGTGGCTTACAACTTACAGAAATCCCAAGTATTTACTTAATGGTAATACACCTAAAATTTACTACAGTTTAAAGTAAATTAAAAGGCTTAAAATGTTAAATTAAATTCCTTTTCTTTCTTTACATACTACTTCTTCGTCATCTGGTGGATAAATATTTCGTCGTTTTTGATTATTATTTATTCGAAGAGATAAAAAAAATTAATGAAACATAATTTTAGTCGATTTCTAACTTTTTCAAACTATATGATTTTTTTCTAAATACAATAAAAATAATAACTTATTAATCCAAAGAGAATCCAGTTACACAGTTTAAAGTTTTATACCTAAGAAATTATTGCCTATATCCAGGAAAGGAAACGGGTTTTGGGAACTAGGTACACGCTTAGAAGGAACAGTGGGGTGATAGGTATAAGAAAAAGCGAATAGAAAATATAGGAGGTTCTTATTTTATATTCTAGCTTGTCAATATCGGTAATTTGAGTTCGTAATTCGTAAGAAACTATAAATTTTATATTTGGACATCACACACATCTAATTTGAACCAATGCTGCATTCAACATAACACGTGACACAAAAAAATCGATATTTTGGTGTGTTCTTATAATATTTACTTTTAAATTTAGAAATTAACTTATGTATAACACTAAAATTTTAATTACAGTCTACAATTTCATACCAAACGTATTGATATAAATTCATATAATAGTAGTTCAATAAAATTTTGAATGTAAGTCAACAAACGCGATGATATGGCTTTTGACCCGTGACGATAGGGTTAATAAACATATTCAGTGGTACTGAACTTAACCAACGGAGGAAAAGTGCAAACTGATAACTAGGTACACTGCGTGTACCCGCGTGTACTCCCATTTCCATCACTGCCTATATCTTTCGTTTTGAGGTAAAAATATAATCACATATATTCCAGATTCAACATTTTCTGGTAACCAACCATCTAAATATCATTTCATATTTTCTAGAATATTTTATTTCGTGGGAAGAAAAGCACAATTAACCATAAAATACTGCAAAAAAATGAGCTGAAAAACACCCCTACATATAAGAACATGTTGATACATTGCCAAATTTTGTCATTTAATCTCCATACATTTCCAAGTTGACTGAACCAGCTCCCTCCTCCGCGACCCGTAGATTGCGAGTCAAGCTCCCTAACCACCTGGCCATGCCGGGCCTACCAAAATTTGAGACTGGGATGCATTCGTGGCCAAGTTGGGTTGATGTTTCGAGCTGATGGAGAATAGAGTAGACAATAGCATCATCGTCAAGGTTTGAGAGAAGAACCTCATCGAGAGCTTGGTCTATTACGTGGAAGATCTGCGTTGCATGCATAACACTCCAATGGTTTTGACATATCACGTGGATATCCTTGCAGACAAATTTGTCAAGAGGATAAACAGTGAGACGAGGAGACGTCACTTAAATGTGAAAGACATTTTTAGCCTGATGGAAAAAGTTGTTGTTGTGAAGAGAATTATCATTTTGAATAAGTCTCAGAGAAGAGGAAGAACCCCACAACTGCATTTGCTCTACCCTGGTTGTAGCGTCTTCCTTAAATGAATACATCACGCAAGCTCGTGATTTGCAGAGGGTAATCCAGTAATCAATACAACCTGGTATTGTGACACGGCTTCATTGAATATTAATGAGTGGACAGGACTTCCATGGCTATCCTGCAATTTTTGTGCCACAGGCAGTGCAAATTATGTCTTCATCGTGAATTCACTTTGGAAGGAGGGAGCTGAAGCATTTGCTTTAGGTGGGTAACTGGGTCACTTCAAAATGAATTGCCTGTAACCACAATATAGGCAAAATAATTAGTTTCACCCAACTGTACAGCAGGTGCAGGTTGTCGGCAAGCTGTAGCTGCAGCTGCTTTGGCTCTACGAAATTAAGAAGCCTAAGATGGGTCTAACCTCCAACTTGGGAGAATGTACCAAACAGCTTGTGACAAAGGTTTGGTGGTCAGCCTAACTCTCGCAGGGCTTAGTTGTGCTTTGTATGTGCCAATAAAGATACAGGGGTGAGAGACAGAATTCCTGGTTGATAAAGAAACTGCCAAGACACTGGTTGATCTTGATGTGTATCAGTCACTCTGAGTGAAGCCAGCTAATATCGACTTCATTCTGACAAATGGTGATAGACTAAATGTGAATGAAGAGGCACACATCCACCTATGTCTAGACGACGTGACAAAATGAAAGTAATCATCTCTGACCTTGATTATGACATTGTGATCTTAGGAATGGACGAGTTGCAGAAATCATCAACTAGTCTTACCTGTGCAACAGGTGGACAGGTGAATACTTTGATGCATTAGAAGGTGTGCAGTGATTTAGCACCTTAAACTTGATATCCATATTGTATGACGAGAACAGACCTCAAGCTGCTTTTAGTAGTAGGGATGTGGTACAAGTTTTATATGATGCTATTCGGCTTGAGTAATGTACCCACCAATTTTAAGAAGCTAATAGAACTTATATGAAAGAGACTGGTATGGCAGAAATTTCAAGTCTATGTTGATGATGTCTTGATGTTTGGCCACACGTTCAACTCTATTGTTGAAAACCAATGCCTAGTATTTCAGCAAATAAGAAAAGTAGGCTTGAAGTTGGAACCAGGGAAGTCAGAGTTCATACACAAATAGGAGAAATTTTTTGGTCACATTGTACAATTTATCATATTCTCATAATAATGGAGTTTATGTTGATCCTGCAAAGATCGCAGCAGAAAAAAAGAGTGGTCTCAACCCATGATCACGCAAGAACTCTGCAGTTTTATCATATTATAATATTATCGATGTTTTATGACCAATTCCTCCGATATTGCTATTCCATTATTGACTTTCATTAAAACTACTTTGCATTTTGGATACACTGAGGGACGTGAATAAACAATTAATTTGTTAAAACACACATTAGTAGAACCTCCAGTGTTGGCATATCCACAAAAAGACTGAGAATCTCTGTTGAATACTGATGCCAGTGATAGTAGAGCTAGGTAAGTTACCTCATTTGTCGGATATAGTTGAATTTGTGATTGCCTACATTAGTCATATGTTGATGGCTCCTGAATGTAGGTACTGCATGATGAACTGCTCACAGTTTGTGGTCTTCATGAAACATAACTGTATCGTAGCTTGTGAATTTTAGAAATCCAGAAGAGATACTTGTACATTGTATCACCACTTTGTTGTGTAATGTTGCTCAGGCTGACAACATGGAAACAATAATAGATTGTCTCGCCACATGGTAAGTTAACGTCTGTTCAATGAATGTCTGACCCTAAACACCATTTGGAATTAACATCGTTTCTGCAGTTGGATACCATAATTACACTTTTCACGAGCTCCAGGAAGAGCAAATGAAAGACCTAGATCTAGATTTAGCTCTCCACGTCATGCAATAAAGTAAAACACAGGCAGCAAAGATTGGATACAAGTAACTTGTGGTACTTGTACGAGCAGTTTCTAAGAGCACTAAGGTGTGCTGTGTCATTGTTATAATCCATCAAAGCTAGTAGTCCCCAGAACTATTAAGTAAGACATACTTCAGACTTTGCACAATGTAAGGATTGAAGGCCACCAAGGTGTTACATGTGCCTGTGCTAACACGCAATAGCATTTATTACTGGCTATGTTCGAGTCAAATTATTGAAGAGTGTGCACAGTCCAAAAAAGAAAAACTGGCTTCAGCAGGTAATTTTTGGTGATTCCGTTACAGAGAACATTTCTGTATACCTGTATGTCACTGGTCTTCTTCCGGAAAATGGACGAGATAATCAATGTGTGCTAGTCGATATTAACTACTTCAGTGGGTAGACCGAAGCTTATTCATTGGTCAATACATCAGCACAGTTTGTCAGTTGAGCATGTGCATTACATAGATCATGCAGACTGCAATTAATGTTAAAAGGTCTGCGCTATATATCATATCTTTAAACACCAGTGTATGTGTGAAACGCAACATAAATATAGTTACAAACCAACAGATGGCGTCACAATATTTTATTGTTGGTGCTTTCACCTTCGGTAAGAATTTTTTAAATTTAGTAAAATATAATTTATAATTAAAGAAGCCAACATTCGCGGGCGAATGCAACATGTTTCCGCCACGCAATCCCGACATGGTCAATTCTGACACTAGAAAAATCGAAAACTTTCTATATTAGTGCTTGGGATTCGCAAAAAGGTATCTTTGTACCAAATCGTATGTAAGTTGGTTGACATACACATGAATAGTTCATGAAAATCCTAAATTGTACTTTCCTCGCTGAAAAATTGAGCAAAAGACAAAAATTCCAAAATTGTCTATATTTTTATTTGGAATCTGCAAAAAAGTATCTTTTTACCAAATTTCATGTAAATTGATCGAAACAAAGCTAAGTAATTGATCAAAACTCCTAAGATTATGGGTTTATTTAACCTCTTGACCCCTGCTAAAATGACCAAAAACTGGCATACCCCACATTTTTGTATATATATATATATATATATGGGCCTGTACAAAAGCCTCTTTGTATCAAATCCCATATAAGTTTGTCAGAATACGGTGGAGTAATTGTCAAAAACCCTAAAATTATGTGGCATCTTGATCCCTATAATTATTAGAAATGGGCAAGTTCACTATCATTTTTATTTGTCAATATATGGGACCTATGGAAAGGTATCTTTGTACCAAATTCCATGTAAATTGATCAAAATATGGACGAGTAATTAACGAATAATCCCAAAATTATTCTTTTTTGTGAGCTCTGATCCCCTGAAAAGGCTCTAAATAAGCAAATCCAACTTTTTAGGTCAATGTTCTGGGCGCATGAAAATTTATATTTGAGCCAATTTTCATCTTGATGGTTGTAAAT